AGGGCGGAGAGCGGGAGCCCCTGCTCAGGCAGCCAGTCCACGCCTCTGCTGATTTGTTCTACGTGGGCATCCCGTGGGCTGGGCGATGCCCGCCCACACTGGAGAGGGCAGATCTTTGCTGTCTACTGATGTAAATGCCTGCGTTCGCAGACACACGAGAAACCATGTTTCACCAGCTACCAGGGATAACTGCAACCTCACGCATGGCACGGTGTTAGCTCTGTCAGCTCAGCTGGGCCAGGTGACGGCTGCACACCAGACTCGGGCGGCAGCCCTTTAGAAGTGATTGACTTGGAAGACAGTCTGTTCCCTCTATGACGCGGGAGGGCCTCGAGCGGCCAGATGAAGACCTTGAGAGCAAACACCCAGGCCTGCCCAGGAGTAAGGCCTTGCCCTCGTGACAGCACCGGAGGGACACCACCCGGTCTCCAGGCTGCTGTCCCGGGGCCTCAGGCTCGGGGGGCAACGTGGACACGTCCTTGGACTTCCAGCCCATGGTGAGCCCTCCAGACTTGAGAGTTGCCAGCCCCTATTATCTCAGGTGCCAACTTGTTAAAATGCACTCCCCCATAGCTCTAGGTCCGGCTGGGTCTGGGGAGCCCTGACTTAGCAAAGGAGGTATCCCAGGGCCGGGCCTGCTGCCTATAATCGGACGAGGCCCAAAGCCGCCATCCAGGGCCAGTGCTGGCCTCCCACCCTCGGCTCTGCTCCTGACGTCCCGAGCCCGGGTCTCCAGCTTTGAGACACCCCCAGCGTGCAGTGCCGGCCGGCCCGCCCACCATCTCGGAAGCACACCACGAGAAGAATCCTCCAGCAACTCAGAAGCACACTGTACCACAGATAATTTATTATAAAACCTCAGCAAGTTAAATACCCAGAGGCCCTTGGGAACAGAGCCCCACCACAGGCAGAGGGGCCGGGGCAGCTCCTGTCCCGCAGGGCCAGGCAGCTCCCCCACCGGCGTCCTCTGCCGTGGCTCGGAACCCGTGGTGCTAACACCACTGGATCTACAGGTGAGGACTCGAGAGACCCCAGGCCCCCAGGCCCAGCCTGGCTCAGGGCTGGCAGTGCATGGGCGTCTCCTGGCACCTGTCAGCATGGGCCACGCCTTCCTTAGGCCCTGTGCCTCTGACTTGCCACCTAACAAGGAAAAGCTGTAAGAAACAGGCTTCACTAATAACACGCACTTGCACGTAACTGAGAAAGATAAGGCATAAAATGTAAGCGGTGTCTCCCCAGCACCTGGGTCTGAAGGGGACAGAGGTCCACAGACCAAGCCCCAGCAGGTGCCCCCTAGGGACAACAGGGGCTCCCGGGCAGCTGGGGTGGGAGGAGGGGCCCGGCCGTCCGCGGGCTCCCTCAGCACCTGCCCCCCTCCCAGGTGGGCTGTTCCCGGGGGCGGTGGGGCATCTGGGGTGGAGGCGGCCACGCTCAGTGGCAGGCAGTCCGCTCGTTCTCCATGTGCGTGGCCTCTCCTTCTTTGTACACAGCACCAGCCACTTGGCGTTGGCGAGCTCGGCTCGACGGTCCTGCCGACTTGCTTTGACTGAAACACAAGCACGGGCGAGCTTTGCTTCTGCGTTCTGTCGCACGGGCCGGGGCTGCACCTGCCAACCATCAGGGGGGCGGCATCTGTGGGACCACGGCGATGCACCCACGCTCGCAGCCAAGCGCCGGCACTCCTCCAGGTCAGACAATCCAACCCCGGCTCCTGGGCTGGCTCCCGGCTTCCAGAGCAGGCCGCACAGCCCATCTGGGCCGAGATTTCTCCGCTGGGGTGGGCCCGGCTCACAGATTGGAGGAGGAGCACGCCTTGCAGCACTGCTTGCTGTAGAACTTGTGGCTGCACAGCCCGTGTTGGGGCACCAGGTAGCACCAGGGGAAGTGGTCTTTGCAGAAGGCAGCTGAAAGGGGTCAGACGGCGTTAGCGCTGCGTGGTGGCTGCTGAGGTCTGCATTTCTCTCTCAGACTCACACAGGCACTCCAGTTCCCAAAGTCCTCTAGGCTAATGAAATTCAAAGGGTGGGAAACTGATCTACTCCTGGTGCTCAGGGGCGGGGCCTTCAGGAAGTGATTGGGCCATTAGCATGGAGCCCCCATGGCTGGATCCTGGTGGCTTCAAAGGGAAAGGGGAAAGAGCACAGGGACAGAGAGAGACGCGCACTCTCCCTCCGCGATGCCAAGCGCCCGCCCGCGTCGTGCTGTGTGGAATGAGTCTCCAGGACCGAGCGTCTGCCCAGCAGCCTGTACTGGTGCCCTGGCGGAGTAACACCGAGCCCAGGTGAGTGTGTGCGGCCCCGGGGCTGCCGCGCAGGGCGGCTCTGCAGGTCTCCTGGGCTCTCCCAGCACCCAGTGGGAGGTTCCTGCACACTGAACTCTCATGGGTCACGCACCCAGGGCCACAGATCCCCATGACTGATTCCAGCGGCCGCGAGGGCTGGTGGCTTGTTGTGAGCCCAGGAATGGTGCTCACAGAGGCTTCTGTCTCCCCTCCCTAGAGAGTGGACGGCATCGGGACAGGAAAGGCATCAGGCCTTCTCAAGGCAAGGATCGTGCCACACGCCCTTGTCCATCTCTGGGGCCACAGAGGAGGGGACCAGATGTGCTTTCAGGGCCATGTCATTGCCAAACTGGGGGAGAAGGCAGAGGGAGAGAAAGGGTACAGTGGGCATGAGACCCCACCTCCAGGGCTCCCTGGCAGTGGGCACCCCACATTCTCAAGCCCTCTCAGGGAGGCCCCCGACGCCTGCCCCCCAACCCAGAAGGCCAGGCCAAGCCCAGGGCCTCCGGCACTCACCTTTCTTCTCTGGGATGGGGCAGAAGCGGGTGTTGCAGGCCTGGGAGGCTGTGGGCTTCTGGTGGGAGAAGCAGCCCGAGGCTGGCCGGCCGGCCACCAGGCACTGCACGGACCTCGTCTGGACGCCGCCCCCACAGCTGGCTGTGCACTGCGGGAGCAACACACACAGGTGGCCGCGGCCGCAGGTGCCTGCCCACCTTTCGTGGGCAGCGGCATGGGCAGGGGCTTCCGCTCTGTCAGGCGGGCAGGAGTCATCCCTGCCCATTTCTGCAAAGGTGTGCCTCACGCGTGCCCCGGCCAGGCCCAGGCCGGAACATTCTACTGGGCTACAACTGCTCTGTGGCTCAGGTGGGAGGCGGCGTGGGTGCTAAGAGCACTTGCTTGGGCTGAGACCCGGAGGTCCCTGAGACTGGGCCTTTTGGGGACCGGGTACAGTTTCTTTTTTTTTTTTTGACAGGCAGAGCGGACAGTGAGAGAGAGAGACAGAGAGAAAGGTCTTCCTTTGCCGTTGGTTCACCCTCCAATGGCCGGTGCAGCCGGCGCGCTACGGCCGGCGCACCGCGCTGATCCGATGGCAGGAGCCAGGTACTTATCCTGGTCTCCCATGGGGTGCAGGGCCCAAGCACTTGGGCCATCCTCCACTGCCTTCCCGGGCCACAGCAGAGAGCTGGCCTGGAAGAGGGGCAACCGGGACAGAATCTGGCGCCCCGACCGGGACTAGAACCCGGTGTGCTGGCACCGCAAGGTGGAGGATTAGCCTAGTGAGTCGTGGCGCCGGCCCCGGGTACAGTTTCAAAAGGCAGAAGCTCTGGGCAACAAAGACACAAAACACGGCAGACATTCACAGCCTCATACGACAGCTCCTCCAACTACAGGCAGTGCTGAAAGAAAAACACGTTCTAATAGGGTCGCCCACCAGTTCTCTGATTAAGAACCAAGCCGCGTCCCCCGTCCTGGTCCTTCCTTCACGTACTTCCGAGCACGGAGTTGCCCACGTGACCACCCCGGCCCCCAGCCCAGGTGCTGCCCGTGCTCCTACCCAGCTTTTCTGGGCGCCTGGCCCTGTCACCCTTGGTTGGGGCACCCCCTTATTTCCTCTATGCACCCCTTCCTTTTCTCCCCACCCACATTCCTCAAGGTGGTCTCTGTGATTGTGGGTGGCGGGCCACGCTCAGGAGTGACCCTGGGTACCGACAGAGGGAGGAGTTCTCTGATGTCTAGAATGTTCCTGGGGGAGCCGCTGGTGCTCTGATGGGTGCGAGGGGACTGGTGCCGTGCAGGCGACGCCCTGGCCGAGCCCTGTCCAGAGCCCGAGGGCACGGGTGTCTGTGAATCTATCCCGTGCAAACTGTGGGTGTGCCCTGGAGAGCACCAGTGGGGGGAGGTGGGAAGAGCAGGGGACAGCGCCTCGAGATCAGCGCTCAGCAGCTGGCCAGAGACACAGCCCAGAGTGTGGACAGGACCCTCAGGGAGAAGCTGGGCAGAGATCGGGACAGGCAGTGGAAGAGACGCGGGGACTGGACGGGCGGTTAACGTTGCAGGGGAAAACTGGCTGCAGCGCAGGCTGCCCCGAGTACGTCGTGCTCAGGCCGGGCAGGTCAGGAACGGGAGCCCTGACGCAGGCCTGTAAGAGCACAGGGTCAGACAGCGCCTCGCGGGTTCTGCCGTGCAGCCGCTACAACGAACGTTTGCTTAAAACGCGAGGATAATGGCCCGGAAAACTGGGGCCGTGCAGGGCTCGGGCTGCTCGCCAGAGATACAAGACAGCGTGCCAGGGCCCACTCGGGCAAGTTCCGGCGGCAGGCCCAGATGGTTCTCTGTGGCCCGAATCGTCCAGCAAGGGAACACCTGGACAGGTGCCCAAACCACTTCCTGTCTTCCGGGGACCTGCTGCAATCAAAGCCTCTGACGGGCTGACGTCCCAAGGGACAGAGACTGGGTGGGGGGCAGGTCACACCTGGAGCTGGGGGCTCCCTGGGCTGTGTCTGGAATGTCGCCGGGTGGCTCACAGACAGCCGGAATAAAGCAGGGCTGTGGGCGGATCTGTATCTGGTCCTGAATTATCAGGCCCCACGTGATGGGTGACTCTGCACCCAGGCACGGGGTCTTTCCGAGCCGTCTGAGACCCCGAGTTCCTGCCTTCGTCCTCTGGCTCTGCGAGGAGGCGCGGACATCTCTCCATGTCCAGGTCCCCTGCCCCCAGGCTGAGTGCTAAGCTTAGGAAGCACTACTGTAAGGGTTAAAATTCCCGTGCAAAAGCACTCGTGCGAACAGAAGCCTCCGGACTCCCCAAGTTTCATTACTTCACGTAAGCTGATGACGTTTAGCTGGAAACTCTGAAAATACTGGGAATGGACTCAGGCGGTGACGCGCCAGCAGAGACGAGAAGCAACCTGACGTCACTCACTGCCCGCCTTCTGGGAAGGGCAAGGACGCAGCTCCCCCATCAGTGTCGCAGACAGGATGGCTACAAAGGAGCCCGGCGGCGATGCCCACATCCCAGGTTAGAGCCTGGATTCCAGGCTCCTGCCTACGTGCACCCTGGGAGGCAGCAGCTAACGCCTCAAGTAGTTGGGTTCCTCCCACACGTGAGCCCTGGCCTGGGCTTTGGTCTCAGCCATTGTGGGTGCTTGGAGAGTAAACAGCAAATGAGAACCCTCTTCTCTCTCTGCCTTTCAAGTAAATAACAACAACAATAAAAGACTCAGCAGAGGTGTTTAGAATTCACATTCCAGTGTCCGCTGGGTCTGCAGTTCCCACACCAACTGATGTCAAGAAGCCCCGGAGCCCCTGACAACCAGGACCAGCTCCGTCCTCTGCCCCCCCCCCCCCCCCCCCGGCGCTCCAGAGACAAAGTGAACTTGCACCCTCCCAGAATCCGCCCCGGTGCGGGAACAGCCACCAAGACCAGGAGCAGGGCAGTCCTCGGGCACTCGGAGCGTCTCCTACCTGAGACCAGGGTGATGCAAACCAGCGGCCCCTCGGGGGGCCGGCGGCAGCATAGAGGGGGTGCCTGGGGCAGGGCAGCAGGGCACAGGTGCGCTCCAGCTGCAGCTGGGGCCGCGGCAGGTGCAGGCACTTCTTGGAAGCCAGCTCCCGGTACTTGCCGGAAACGTACTTCTCAGCACATCGGAGGAACCTGCTCTGGGTCCCTCTCTCGCACGTCGTAGAGCACTAAAAAAAGAGAACAAACAATGCGGGTGAAAAATACCTCTTGTTTTTGTTACATGGGTGGATCAGGATGTCTCGCGAGGCCGTCAGCTGGAACGCTGATACATGTGGGCCCTCAGTAAGACGACTGGCCTTGGTGTTTAAGGCGGCATTATGACATCTGTCTTTGAAAGGAAAGACCTGGAGGTCACAGTGGCACTGCACTGCGGTGCGTATGGGGTGCAGGGCGCTCAGGAACAGGGAGAGGGCGGTGCTAAAGCTGCTGTCTCACCGGAGAAGGAGGGTGCTGGGTGTCACAGATACGGGGATGCATTCTTGGGGTACCCAGTCGACTGCACATGTGATCGGCCCCCAACACAGGGGCAGGCTGCGGGAACCAGGGCTCACAAATCCGTCCCAGCCCCCTGAGGAAGTCCTTCCACTCCCCTGGGAGGTGTGCTCTCAGCCCGAGCTGTGTCTGCTGCCCGTGGACACCAGGAGCGTGCAGACGGGCCCCGGGATGCAGCAAGCCGGGACAAGAGTGTAGGCCCTGGCCAGCAGGGGCGACCCAGGGGAACCAGGCATGTGACTGGACCATGGCTGGAGAGAGGTGCTGGCCCCAGCCTGGCTGAATCAGGCTGGGAGAGATGGTGGTGGTGTGGTGGGGGCACTGAGTCCCAGGGGTCACTGGGCGGAGGAGCCCAGGCAGCAACACCCTCAGGTTCCCAGAGGTGCCGTCAGGGAGCCCTGATGCCAAGGTGAAGGATAGGATGTAAAAAAGCTTGTTTGCAGGGCTGTGCCCCAGAGAGCAGCGCTCTGTGTGTGTGTGTGTGTGTGCGCGCGTGTCTGTATTTATTACATTTCAGAGCAAGGGCTTTCTACCTGGGCACTGCCCGAGTCCTCTGCTTTCTAGGAGCTTGGCCTCCAGAAGTCTGTCCTTGCCTGCTGCCCTAGGGCACCCTGGCGCTCCTGTGCTCCGGGAGAGCGGGCCTGTGCTCCTCCTTAGCTCCTCGCTTCAGCAGGCAGCAGTGTCTCCACGGGACTGGGTGTCCAGCATGGCACACCCACCGTCCTGATCGAGGCGACCTTGGACGTGTGGATGCGTGCTGACCGGCCCCGAGTCCTGCTCCGAGGAGCCCAGGAACGCACAGCTGGGGCTGCCTGTGCGGGACTGCGGCGGACCCACCGAGGGTGGCGTGGGGACCATGGACCCCCGGTGCCCTGGGCTCTCTCTTACAGGGCTCTCCTGTCATCGCGGGGGCTGGGTCAGATTTCTAAGGTCCTTGTGGGGTCACTTAGGTCAAAGTCGAAACCTTCACCATTGCAAGCGTGTGCTGCGAACACCCGTCTAGTGAGGCGGGGTCTAGGGGGCTCCCTGGCCGTGGGCGGCGCCGGGCACTGCTCTCAGCGGCGGGTGAGGATTCTCCCCCAGACACTCGGTGGAGGAAAGGGGGCCCTTGCGCCTCTCCAAGGTTCCCCGCCCTCCTCCACTCTCAGTCACATCCCAGGCACCCTCTCCTGCTGGACTGGATGCTGACTCAGCGAGGACGCTGCGCATGCCCTGGAGAGACGTTCAGGGCACTTGATTCCGAAGCGGAAGCAGACGCCTACCGCCGACGGGTTGACTGTCGGAAGCTCAGGAAGACGTGTGAAGCAGGGGCAGTGGGGAAGAAACCCGGCGGCACCAGCAGGAAGCAGGGAGGCAGGAGCGGAGGCGGCGGGTGGGCCCCACCCCGGGGACCTACCTGGGACCAGGCCGACACCAGCCACTGCAGCCTGCTGGGCTTGTGGCATCGCTGGAGCAGGCAGGCGCCCCGAGGCCTGGGCTTGGGCTGCGCACTGCAGACGGCGTCGGGCAGCAGCTGCGCGCGGGGCGCGGGGTTCGTGCTCTTGCAGGCCACGGTCCTCTTCCGCCAGCCCTTCCCACACGTCCGTGAGCACTGGACACGAGAGCGAGGGCGGCTTCACCAGGGTCACCGTTTGCAACAGTCGGATGGCTCTGGGGGCTGAGGCCTGGCCCTCCCCCAGCTGCCCCCCGCTCATCCCCATGGTTACCTCTGCCCAGGGCCCGGTGCTCCAGGCAGGCGGGCAGCTCTGGGAGTTGCAAGCTTGCCGGCTGGGGGGCACAGGCTGTGGACAGAGGGCAGCGCCCACGGGCTCCGTGCTGTAGTGTGCACGCCGGGTGCACTGCACCAGCCGGCTCTGAGTGCCCCCTCCGCAGGTGTGGCTGCAGGCGCTCCAGTTTCCCACGGACCAGCTGGGAGGGGACAGGGACAGAGGGACCACAGTGAGGGACGGCGCCTTCTCGCCTGCACGTGCGCAGTGTTTGCCCAGAGCCGCTGCGCTGCCCTCCCCTCCTCCATTCTTTCCCTCCTGGCTTTGGGGGTCCCCTGTACTTGAAGGCAGCCCACCTCAGAGCAGTGGCCCTTCTCCTGTTTCAAACAGAAAACCTCCCACGTTACAAGAATAAAGGCCCTCTGTTCCCAGGCACCCAGCTTCAGCGATGGCCCACTCATGTCTCCGTCTATAGGGCGTTCTGAGCGAATTCCAGACACGCCAGCGTCTCAGCGCTCATCTCTCAAAGATAAGGAGTCTTTGTTGCTTTTCTCTGGGCATAGCCACGATGCCATTAGGACGTCTGAAAGTTAATGCTGATTCCTTCGCATCACTACACGGTCAGTGTTCCGATTCCCAACTGTGTCCTCAACGGCGTAATTTTAACCACATGTGTGATTCCGAATCCAAATGCAGTCTGCTGTTGCAGTGGGTGGATGTCTTTCTTCTCAAGTCTGGAGGTTCTTCCTTCATCTGGCTCACTCTGCAGAGCAACGGGCTTGTTCTCCTTCTCAGTCTCCCAGAGCCGATTCTTCTGTTTGCAGGACTTTGCAAACGGCATCTCCGTGGTGTCACTGAACAGGCCCCTCTGCCCTCTCTCCTGTCACTGGGTCCCAGCAGCTGGAGGCTTTATCTGATCCACGTCTAAGCTGTTTTCAGTGACTATGTAGTGAGAGATAAGTCTCCTTCCAGCGCGGGGCTCCTACTGTCTGATCCACAGCCGCTGATGCTCTGTAACACTGTCTCTCAAAATCTTCTTTTTGCCTTGGTTATAAAGGCATTCCTTGCTGGCAGGTGGGCAGGCAGGTGGGCTGGAGGCCAGCCCAGGCCCAGTCCGAGGCAGCACAGTCTGGGCTCTGAGAAAGCTGAGTCTGTCTCCAGTTTCAGCCGTCCTTGCACAAGCCCTGCAGGAGCCTCCGTGTGCGTGGGGGGAGAGGTGGCCCACGGGAGAAGAGGGGAGATCCCAGAACCCAGGGGGCCACGGCGGCCACACTGGGCCTGAGGACCCTGAGCTGTTCTCCAGGGCTGGCCAAGTGGGCTCTAAGAGGACTTGGTTTTCACACACAGGTGCCTTCCTGTCCAGCCCTGTGAGAGCTAAGGTAGAGGGAGGTAGGTTTTTTCCTAAGCAAAAATTGAGACGCCCGTGGGTGTCCAGGAGGTGCCACCTCGGTCGCCATGGCAAAGCAGTCGTGAAGGGAGAGGAGAAGCCACGGTCCCCTTCCGTCGGGCGCTGCAGCCCCGGGCCCCGGCCAGGAGGAGCAGGGGCTGCGCAGGGAGCATCCTCTGCTGCTGGGGGTGCAGGTCACAGTCGGGGAGCCCCCGGAGCCGTGTGCGCGGCTCTGCTCTGCTCACCAGGGTGAGGGCCCTGGGCCTGCTGGACTCGGGATGACGGCGACCTCCTCCTGAGCCTTGCGCTGAGGCTGATTTGTGACAATGCCCCAGGTGTGTCCCCGGCCCTCCCCTCCCCTGCCAGGCACGCGTGGGTCGAGGAACCACACAGTAGCTGAGACCATGGTCAGGAAGGCACAGGTACCTCCGAGACAAGCACAGGACAGGCCTCGGGGCTGGACGTGTGAACTGAGCTCACAGGGCGTGCCGCGGAAGGGGCGCCCCAGCCCTCAGTGCTCACGCCCTCCCAGTGGCCTCGGTGCCTTCTCCGTGTGTGCGTGCACGTGCATAAACATGTTTTAATGTGGCTGAGGACAGGTAACGAGCTGTGGGGAGCAACTCGGACTAGACTAAGTTACTGGAATTAAGACTTATTCTATGCATCTGCTCTCCCACAATATGGCGCTGGGAGAGGAGGAAACAGCTTCTACACAGCTGCCTCCAGTTCAACCAATAAACAGCAGGATCTGCTCCTGATTGGAGGAGAGCAGCATACTCGGCGTGTGGGCAGCAGAGTTGGGATTGGTGGAAGAGGACTATAAAGGAGGAGAGAGACAACATGCACCAGGAACATCTATCTGAGGGAACATCTGAGCAGCCCCCGAGAGAGCCGGCCGGTGGTGTGCCGCTCCCCCGCGGAAGTGGGGAAGGTGGCAGGGGGAACCGCCCTTCCACGGAGGTGGAAGGGATGGTAGCCAACCCGGGAAGAACCAGCAGCAAACCCGGGGAGGGCCGAGCAGACAGAAGAACAGCGCAGGGTCCTGTGTCATTCCTCCACGAAGACGGGGAGTGACATAATGGTGCTGTGACTCGGATATGAAGCCTAGGCAGGGTTTGGTGTCGCTCCTCCACGAAGACGGGGAGCGACAACGAGCAACCTTTGAACTCAGCATCTCTAAGATGAAAAGTGTAAAGGGAGCATTTCCTCGCATTGCAAAGCCTCTGCACACACATTTCCAGCAACTCTAACATTCCTAATGCGCACCAACCCATATCAGCTCCTAACTAAAGAAGTCACCCGGGAAGGGCTGCGTTCCAAAGCTCAGGAGACCTCCTGAGAACACCATGCTGGCTCTGTGAGCCGTGCCCTCACGGCACTGAGCAAAGCGATCCCGCCTTGCCTCCAGTGTGCACAGAAGTTTGGAGCCACACGCGGGGTGCGTTAGGAAGCCCAGAGGCTGCTTGGGCGGCGGGATCTGGGAGGAGAGGATGCACTTCCTGCAGGGGGCGTGGAAGTCACTCCGTCCCACAAGGGTCGGCGGCCGTGCTGTACGGCTGCTGGGTCCCTCAGACCCGTGCAACCTTCACTTCTGTTTGGAGAAATTTTGAACTATTTTTTTTTTTTTATCAAGGATGTTCCCGAAGCAGATTCCATTATGTTCTGAAGACCATTATAAAAGACTGTGACGTCACGTTTTAAAAGCATGAAGAGGGCACCCATCCGTGTTGCAGGAAATGTCCCCCACGGACTGCAGAACTGCTCTGAGTGTCCCGCGTCGGGATCCATGTGCTCTAGTTCATGTTAAAGCGTCCCCACATGCGGGCTCACTGGGAAGAGGGGCTCTGGCCTCACGCTGTGCCGACAGGGCCCCTCGGCGGCTCTGGGGCCTCCTTGGAGTGCTGTCCTGGTGTCTTCAGACTCCCCCCCATTTCCCGGGTGCGGCCTCGTCAGCTGTCACTGGTGCGTCTGTGCTGGGGTTGCCTGTTAAGCCCGCTGCCTCTGCCACCTGCGGCTGCTCCGACCGCTCCTTCTCTAGCTGTGGCTCTAGACTGCTCTGGGACTGCTCCGAGTGTCCGCCGTGTTCACACACAGGGCTCTGTGGAAACGCCTTCCTGTCAGCTCCACAGTCCTGCTCTCCACAGACTTCTGGGCAGGTATCAGAGGTTCCCCAGGGGCGGTGAGCTGAGAAGTGCCGAGTGCCGTAGCGGCTCCCTCTGGCTGGGGCCTCCCTAAACCTACCAGCTGGAGTAAAGGAGACGCTAGTGTTGTCCCACATCATTGGGTTGCCAGGCAGGGCATGGGGAGACTCAGCCACCCAGCCACCCAGCCACCTCCCATGACGAAGGGCGCCCCCCCCCCCAGGGCACTGTGCTGTCAGGAGAGCTGGGGGGGGCTCACAGCTCTCCCTCCAGGGTTCAGTTCAGGTTTCCTGGCACGTTCAACAGTCAGTGTCTCTAGGGGTCACGGTCACTTGGGGTTTCCTCCTGCCCCAGCGCTGCATCTGCGTGTGTCAGGGACGCTGGCGTGCACTTTTCCTTTCCTTCTATGCTGTATCAGGGTGATGCTGGCCTCACTTTGTGGGAGATCGAGCAGAACGTCTGTCTACCAGCTCTTCTTTAAAAAGCGGATAGAATGCAGCAGTGAAGTCATCTGGTCCTGGGCTTTCCTTTTCATTAAATACATATATTTATAGCATTTTGGTTTTGGTGGTGTAAGGACTCCTCTGCCAGTGCCAACTCCCCACGGGCTTCAGGAAGAGCTCCTGCCGGGCCGGTGTGCCAGGCACAGCGGAGCCCAGAGGCCAGCCTCTGCCCTGGCCCCACCGCAGTCCGCTGCGGATGAGAGCCCAGGAAGCCTCCCGGAGAGCAAACGGCTGCTGCCTTCCCCTTAGCATTTAGCTTCTGCTGATCCTGGACGAAGCTTCAAGATCAAGCACTCTGCTGCTCTGTTTCCAGGAGTCCCTGCTGACCGCCTGCGGGACCGGGGGTCTCCCTGAACTCGGGAAGTACAGGGGAAGTGACAGCACGTGCTGACGACAGGCCCTGACAGTATTCGGCATGCGAGGATGGAGTTGGTTCCAGAGGAGCGAGCCCTGGCCGCAGCTCCGGCGGCCTCGCACGCGCTCAGATGGGGACTGGCACCACTTCCACGCAGGTTGCTTGAATTAATTCATTCACGTCAGCCCGTGCCGACGACAGGCCGTGATGATATTAGGCACTTGCAGGTGGAGTGGGCACCCCAGGAGGAGTTGGTTCCGGAGGAGCAAGCCCTGGCCGCAGCTCCGTCGGCCTCGCACACACTCAGACGGGGACTGGCACCACTTCCAAGCGGGAGCCTGAAAGCCCTCTGTGATTAGACACACGGGCGACACTGAGGCCTCACCGAGGCACGACGGCTGCCGGTGTGGTCCCTCGGGCTGTGGATTGTGTGACTTTCAGAGACACCGGGACCTCGTCTCCATCCAAAAACCATGGACTCGTCACATGTGCAAGTAATTTGAGATCTACCACACTTTACTTTTGAATGAAATGTTTAAACATAACATTTCATACTCAACAATAAATATGGCTGTATGAAAAATCTGCCTTTCATAGGAAAAAAAAAAGTCAGTTAACAAGGTAGAGTGTAGCCCAACTATATACTGAAAACGCGGTGGCCCAGGTCAGCGGATCCTGGAGAAGGGGAGGAGAGGCGCCAGTGCCCAAGCTTGCCTGCCCCCTCGTTTGCTGACCTGGGAGCTTGTGTCACGTGGTACCTGCAGATTCAGAGATGGCTGCAACTCTGCAGGAGCCAATGACCTTGGTAACCCAAGT